TCCCGTTTCTCTCTCCCCCCTCACCCCCCTGCCTCTCTCTCTCTCTCTCTCTCTCTCCCTCTCCCTCTCCCTCTCTCTTCCTCTCTGAAATCAATTCAATATAATAAAAGCCCGGCGACCGTAACGGCATAACGACCAGCATGACCGACCGACCAGCCGCTAGGACCACCTCTCAGTCCCTCCCCGCAGCCCGCAGCCTCCGATCGATCGCCCGGCCAATGGGGAACCGGGGTGGGTAGCGGAGGGGCGGGACTGGGGGCTGGCGAGCGGACGGAAGACGACCCTGACAGCAGGCTAGACCTGGGACCCTCCCCGCGCCCGATTTGGTGCGCTGGGACTCCAGTAAGGATATATCTCTTTTTTTTCTTTTTCTTTTTTTTAAATATTTTATTGATTTTTCACAGAGAGGAAGGGAGAGAGATAGAGAGCCAGAAACATCGATGAGAGAGAAACATCGATCGGCTGCCTCCTGCACGCCCCCGACTGGGGATGTGCCCGCAACCAAGGTACATGCCCTTGACTGGAATCGAACCTGGGCGATTACAGTTTCATTTTTTTTTTTTTTTAACACAGAAAAAAATCAACACCGGTTAGAGCAAGGATATATTTCTTAAAAAAGATAGGAGAAGGAGCTGGGACCAGACCCCGGTGGGTGGGGGGAGGGGGTGAGGGGATGGACTCACAGCTTGACCAGGAAGGGGTGGCTGACTTCCTTGAGGACCGACTTCTCGTTGTGCACGTGCTGCTCCTGCTTCAGCCGGATGACGTCAGGGATGCTCATGACCTTGAGCGCGAAGAACTGTTTGCCCGTCTTCTGCCGGACCAGCTGCACCCGCCCGAAGGTCCCGGTGCCTGCAGAGGAGCAAGACAGGGGGGGCTGAATGGGCACCGGGATGGGACCAGGGGGTCGGACACTCAACACTCGGCAAGAGTCCGGCCGGACGGGCTCAGGGGTGGAGCGTCGGCCGAGGAACCAGGAGGTCCCGGGTTCGATTCCCGGGCAAGGGCACAGGCCCGGGTTGCGGGCTCGATCCCCAGTAGGGGGCGTGCAGGAGGCGGCCGATCCATGATTCTCTCTCATCATGGATGTGTGTGTCTCTCTCTCCCTTTCTCTTCTTCCCTGAAATCAGTAACAATACACTTTAAACAATACTCTACAAGCC